GATAAGAAAGGAGTCCACGAGGCATCTCCTGTCCTCAGCATTCAGAGTCTCCTGCAGATTCTTCACCAGACCTTTCACCTGCTCTATGTTGCTCTCAATATTCTTCTTCAGGGTGACCCAGTCCTTCAGCCAAGGACCCAGGCATGGGAACATGTTATACAGCTGCCACCACAGAAACAAAAACCATATTAGATGTGTTACCATTGAGCCTTATGTTGGAGAGATTCCTATTTCAGTTAATTACTCAACATTAGTTTTTAATGGAATTTGTCAGGGAAGGCAGGTTTATGAAGATCTTAGAACTGAGATTAAGATCGCCAGGCTTTTGCTGGTTGATTCAACTTTCTGCTCCAGCTTCCCCATTCAGACCTTATCTTAATGACCATGGAGGGGAAACAGCAAAAAAGTAAAGTACCTGGATGGCTGGTGATACCATGAGTCTGACACTTTCTTTTCCTCTGTTGACCATCCTTTGGAACTCTGGGTCATCGTATTGAAACCTACTGCCATAGACGATGGAGGAAATGATGTTGGAGACTAATCCATTCACTGCTTCACTGGCATCAAATGGTTTGCCTGAGAAGTTGGAAGAAGGAACACGGGATTTAGGCTGTAATGTTAAAACATTCGCATTACTCTATAGTATATATGGTGTGAAAAGTCATTAAGCCAGCAGAAGTTCTCCATATACATTAGATAGATTCATGTCTTGAGTTGTGTAATTTAAGACTTCACAGATAATTATTTATTTTAAAATTTCAAACACATTTTGCTAACATTAAATTGATTTTTTACAAGAAAGCATAAGTGTAATAAATGAACTTTGGTCCTATTTCGATAGTCATTCATTTATTCTTCGAGAGGATGTTTGCTTTGAGCTGCAGTTCCCAGCCAGTACAGCTTACATTGTTTAATACAACTGTGTCATATAGAGCACAATCATGAAATTATAGAATGGTTTGACAATAATGCGTGGAACCACAGGACACAAACATGAGGTGGTCCCAGGAAGGGAAAGCACGTGTCCAGGCGTCCAGACCAACCGTGTTTACAGAGTGCAATAGACACTCTGTCGACACGTGTGACAGGATGCTAAATGACTACAGGGTGGCAAACAGAGCAAGAAAGTGGACTTTGTGTGCAATTATGCATTTTTGTGACCTCGTTAGTTCATGGATTCAGTACAAAAAAGACAGTCGGTTATTAGGACGACCTGTGAAGCCAAGCCTTCAGCTCCGGGATTTTACTAGCAAAGTTAATGGTTAATTGGGGACGAACAAGGGTCTCAGATCATAAGATGGACCCAGAGGATGACAACTGTACATATCTACACACCGAAGAAGCGTGTGAGACAGCTGGCTGAGGTGCTGGGCACCAAGCATTCATCATGGTGCAGAGGAGCGGGATGCAACAGTAAGATGCATGCAAGGAGCCCAAAAAGCAAGAAACTGCTTCATGAAGTAGCATTGGGAATTATATATGGTAATGAATACACTGACTAGGTAATTGGAAATTAAATATTTCAATAACGCACCAAAAGATTAACAATAGAATGGCAAAATTAAAGCTGTTAAAGTTAGTAAAGTGCATTTCTTAGACTGGATGCATTTTTTTCTCTCATATTATAAAAATAAATCTTTAAGAAAAAAATGTGTTTTTGTTGGTAAAACCATGTATACGAATAAATATGTTTTTCCCAGATTTCGGGACAGTATATGATGTTATTACAAGTTAACAACCATTATCTCACCTTTAAAGTTTTCAAACACCTCTGACATGTATTGGATCTCCTCAATGATCTTCTCCTCACTTCCTCGTTTTCCCATCCCCAAATCCTGAAGGGTGGACAAAACAAAGTGTCTCATCTCCTTCCATGAGTCTCCATTGGAAAACAGGACTCCTGTGGGGGATTGGATTGCTGTCATTTTTATTCAGGATACTCAAAGCATTACTGTAAGCATGTGTGTGATCACTGTAGATTCCATGATGTTTCTCACCACACCCCCTTTTGTTACTGAATGGAGTACACTCACACTCACACTCACACTCACACTCACACTCACACTCACACTCAGCCATAAAACAAGGGTAACACTAAACAGGTCATGCTGAAACATGTCTATCAATATTGTGCAATAGAGTCACTGGTTGTTTTTCATACCATGGCCTTCTGAAATATCATACAATATTGGAGATATCTCCCGTTCTCCAAACTCCACTGCATAGTTGACCAGGGCCTCTTTCACAGTCTTGAAGCCGGTAAGAACCACCACTTTCTTGGGGCCAAAGTGGACAGTGAACACGGATCCATATTTTTCAGACAGCTGGAGAAGAGAAAGAACTTTGGTCAGTCTGATGAAAGTTACTGTAAAGAGAGGACCTGGTCATTGGTGGGAAGGGGAGTCATGTGACCAGAGGCTGATAATGCTGATTAATTATAATTATTTTATGTGTGTGTTTGAATTTGTTTTTCCGCATTTGTGTTGTCCTTTGGCAAAGTGACATTTATGTGTCTAGCCTATCCCAGTCCCACCCCATGACACAATATTGTGGAAACAAAACATCATTCTGACATGACAGCAACATTCTGCCGTGCTTTAACCCAAACATCAAAAGGAATATTCAAATCAGAAGATATGGAGCCACAAATTTTATTACCATAAACAGGTACCTTATGAAAAACATGTACTAATGTAATATTCTTTTGCCTTTAACCTCTGGAATGTCATTGAGCTTGATCAAGCTGATGAAGAAATTCATCAGTAACTCCCCTGGTTTTTGTATCTAGCTTGCGACAACCACGAATTTAGCAAATACTGTATCATCAGAGTTCCTGTCAGTTATGATTGTTTATTCTGCTTCATGAGAAGGTCACATATCAAGGAATTCGTTTTTAGAAAAAGTACCTGACAGGATGTTTTTGAGAAAAGACAAGCTATTTTAATTTAGGATCGAATTCTATTACACATGTAATTGATTTAACTGAATAACAATATTGGCAGCAAAAACAGCACTTAGTAATTTTTTATGTGAAATAAAACTGACATCACTCAAAGTAAACTGCCCACCAAGAAACAGTGTAACAATTTTACCCTCCAGAGTGAGAGATCAAGCCTCTTGAGGTCCAGCTGCAGCAGGTTTCCTATGAGAGGCAAAGGTCTGGGTCCTGGGGGCTCCTTTCCCGGGCTGTGATTGGTGGAGAGAAGCCAGAAAACAAGAAAAAGCAGCAGAGCAGCAAGCAGGGCGACCGTGCTGGGAAACTGGAAAAGTTCCTGTAGCAGAGCCATAGCGCCCTTTGTCTCAGCCCTCAAATACTTTCTGTCTATTTATCGGATGAGGAAACCACACCTTTAATGGGTTAGACCTCTCAGTGGGAGGAGCATATGACACAATGTCTACACATGGCTCAGCTTTCTCTTTGGATTAACCAATGAAATAACAGGAGGTCCAAGTTGATAGGAACATGAGAACAGAAAGGGCTTTTCACCTATACATATGCTGGCCTTTGAAGTTTACAGTAAAAGTATGTACTGAGCCATTAAATAGATAAAGTACATTAATTTCTCACCCTCATTTCAACATTTCTACAATGATCTTGTGATTTTTTATATCAATATCATGATTCATGTCAATGTTATTAGATTAACATCCATAATACGTGGAGCGCCCATTAAAAATTTTTGCGATTATTTTTCCGATTACAGGGTTCCAAGCTTTGGTCAGCTGGCTGGGAAGAGATTTTCAATTCATCTTCACACGGATTGACATGTAAGTTTTATTGCCCAGTAAACAGTCGGTAGGGCTTTGCAAATTATGCCAACACTTTTGATGTAGCTAATTTAATGATATTGATTTGCAGTAAGATTTCTTGTATGAACGTAAGAGTCAGAAAGTCTGACAGTGTCACGCCAGATGTGTGAGAGTTGGCCACCCTGTGATTAAGATAAGATAGATCTTTATTGTCACTATTACAAAAACAGTGAAAAACCGCTTAGCAGCATAAGTTAAAGTAATAAATAAGGAAAAAGAACAACACACAAAAAGAAACAGCCGTCCTCTTACAGTGTGTGGGGGGGGGGGGGGGGGGATGAGCACATTTGTACGATAATGGAAGGATAAAGAAAAGTCAAATTATGTCTCTTTCCATTTCAACGCTTCTCACATTATTTTCACAATTTGGTCATGATCAGAAAAACGTGAACCCTGGAACACAATGGATGCGTGGCGTGTGCATCACAGCTATGGGAAGTATGGAATTTTCATTTTGCCGCCCATGTTAACAGATTAGAGCGACCAGGCTGCCTGCATGCAGGACAGGGCTCAGGGGCTCGGGACAGGGCTCAGGGCTCAGACTTGGCCCCCATTAACATTTGGGGCCGCTAACGGTGCCCCCCACCCACATTTATTCCATACTTGTTTTACTGGTTAATACTTGTTAGGGTAAAGACACAGAGCTGCATACATTAAACAATTAATTAGAGGGTGAGATTATGAACCAGGTTCCATCTCTTTTCTTAAAACCCAGATTAATTGCTAATAATTATCTCAAAACAACACCAGCTGGGTAAAGTCAAAGAAACAATTGGCCAGGCCTCTTCATTTTACACAAAGCAGGTTTATTTTAAAAAATAATAGCAATACATTCATTGTAGACAACATGTATCTAGTAAGTTATATCACAATAATGTTAGTTCCCTTTTTCAGTATGGTACCGTTTTGCATTTTTTTTCCATTACAACCATCAAGCTTTCAAGATTTTTTTTAAGGTAAGTTCTGCAAAACAAACAAAAAAAGTCCCAAACGATAAAAGCACCGTGTCTGAAGCCCATTAATCAGAGTGTGAGGGATGCTGATCTCTCAGCTTCTTCTAAAGTCCCAAAGCTTCCTCAGGGATGCGTCAGTGAATGAAGAGAACATATGAAGGTCCTGAAGCAGGATGCCCCCGCCCCTCCACCCAGCAGGCCTGCTTGAGGCCTTGCTTCGCCCACATACAGAGTGCCAGCCAGGTAGGTAGACCGTCTGCAGACACATCCAACTCATTTTCGACGACATGGAGGTTCGGCAAGAAAGACGTTTCACTGTAACTGTGCAGTGATGTGACATTTGCTGTGAAGACATGCTGGGTGCAGTCAGTAAGGAAATGCAGAGTTCAGTGATGCAGTATTAAAATAATTATGATGATGATAATAAAATTTTAAAAGTGTTAGTGTCCAAAACATTGTAGTACTGTTCTGAGATCAGGGCTTGCGGCTGGCTGTGATCCTGGAACGCAATCTCACTTCCCATGGCATATTAAAAAAGAAATAAAAATTTAAAAAATTGCAGGAAGACTGCAACAGCATTACAGTCACTTGGGATGGAACTTTACATTTATTTAGTGGAAGCTGTTATCCAAAGTGACATACAACTGAGGAAGGAGGGTCAATCAGTAACCCTGTAATAATGGGGGGTTAAGGGCCTCGCTGAAGGGCCCAACAGTGATATCACTCAGTTAGCCACGGGATTTAAACAGGCGACCTTCTGATCATGGGTACAGCGTCCCACCCCGAGAAGGCAAACACATACCAGAAACATACTTCTGACAAATGGCAGAATGCAAGGCGGAATGCAGGGGTACTGGGTTTGACGCCGATGGCGTTCCGTTGCATAAACCACCACAATCAGTCACAACAACCCAGGGTTTCAAGATGGAAGACCTGGACAGCCGGGTAAAGCAAACATAATGCTGCCCCCCCTCCCCGAGCCCGTTTTATGCATGAAGCATCAGGGACCAGTCACTCCGTCCAGTACAGATAAAGTCATACACAGCAAACCTCGCCTGACTTGGTAGGACCTCAGTAGCTTCCAGCTGAAATAAGATGGATGGCTTCACGTATTTTCAAAAAGTTAAACCAACAGCAGCGAAATGAAGATGGAGAGGAAAGAGTAGTAATTTCTCACCAACATGCAATTGTCAGATGATAACTAGGTACATACACATAGTGTTACTAGGTGTTTTGGGTAACCAATAGTGAAACATGGACCTGTCATGTGACATTCCTTCCGCCAACCAAATCCTTTCCTCCTGTGAGGTGTCGATCAGCTGCCTGATCAATTACAACTGTATGTCTAGCTCAAAAATAATTGATTCACTGATACGTTTTGTTGAAGTATGGTTCGTCGCGTGGTGGGTAATCAGCACATGCTCCTTCCTTACCTCTCGCCATAGCAACCTGTCATTGAATATTACTGTATGTTAACTTGGCATGAATTTGATGACTATCACCTTTATAAATTGATTGTAGGAGGGATTTTGCTTTACCACTATGCATTCAATTGTAAACCTAAATATATTACATGTAACCCAGATATCTTTTTAAAAACATTTGTCAATGTATTTTATTAATGTAAACACTGGCTGCTGCTATCAAGCTAAATACACATTAATAATCTAATAAAAAATGTCAGTTATACTATCAAGCTAAATGTAAACAATTTTTTCTAATAATGAAAACGCACCTTGTCTAAACCATTCGGCGGCGTATGTCATTCGTGTAAACGCTTGCTTCTGCCACCATAGAGGGTGAATTTGTGACACGTCACCGGTGAACTGGAGGCGTACGGTTGTATCATTGGCCGACCAGCTGACAGGAGGAAGGATTTGTATTGTGGAGGAAATTTGGCATGGCAGTCCCACGGCACACAAACAACATCGACGAGCACATGTAAACACAGACCCGTGGAGTAAGACATAATGCCGAAAATAAAACTATTACAGTATGGTCCACTGATAAATACAAACAAAAAAAAAAAAAAAAAAAAACTTGACTGGGTGCTCAGATGAATGTTTCTTGTATAAATGTCATGGGCCATTGAGTTCCCTGAAAATGTATATTTATATGCATTTATAAAGCATCTACAGCATGACTACAGAAGGGTGTCCACGGTGCAGTGGGGAACCCCTCCCACGGACATGTCATCACTGTTTACTAGAACCTGCACTAGGAGGACTTGTGCACTAGGAGGACTTGTGCACTAGGAGGACTTGTGCACTAGGAGGACTTGTGCACTAGGAGGACTTGTGCACTAGGAGGACTTGTGCACTAGTCGCAGGCTTGAATATCTCCACGGCTTCACGGCTCTCCTGCAGGCCACTGGGTCCTGCGATGCACCTCCTTGTACTGGTGACGACAGGGTGGAGCCGGTCCTTGACTCAGACGTCTAGGGCTGTATTTTGGAAGCCAGGATATGGTAAAGAATGCGGTTTCAAAGTATCCCTGACATGCAGGTCCCCTCTATTCCCTCCCAATAATTACTAATCTGTTATCTGGTTGGGAAGAGCTACAGTTCTTCGTAATATTTACAAACAACTACAGAAGTATTTACAGCCTGATAGATTAGCTTTGGGCAGGATATTCACTGGGTGATCGGAAAGCCCGAAGGTTAAGGATGGACTCATGGCGAACTTGATTAAAAAAAACATATAAAAAAAAACAAAACATGCACGTTGTGTGTCAAACATCACGTGGCATGTGAACTTTTACAGACGGCTAAAGGTAGTGAATTGCACATCTCCTTACTGCTAAGAGAGAATAGAGAAGCCGCTGGAAATGACCGACAAAGAAACCAAAAGCACAGAAACGAATGCGAGTTCTCTGCTTCTCTCTCGCTGACACACGCAAACGCAAGCTATAATATGCATTATCCACCTCACATCCAGTGGTAAACAAGGTCTTCGAAACAAGCGCTTCATAAGTCTGGAAAAGAGAAAGGCTTCCTCGTTTGGCCTCAAAACAGTCACAGAGATCAGACAAACCAGCGCTGAGCGACGCCTAGGATCCGGACGTCTTGCTCCGACCGGGGGGTCGGTCCCAGAGGCCGTGACAGATAAACAGCCACCCTGTGTAGTGTGGACGCTGCCCCTGGTCTGGGACGACGCGGCCCTGAAGGCCTGCGCATTTCGGCGCAATATGTCAGTGTGCATGTGTGTGTGTGCGAGTGTCTGCATTTATAACTGCAGCCGCATGTGAGAGGACAGAGGAGCCCAGGGCTGTTCTAGCTGCCTGGCATGCTGTGACAGGGCCTGCAGTGGCACGAAGGGGGGGGGGCTCCGCTTCATTTCCGGCTGCCCTCGGCGCAGTGCTGGAACTGGGCGAAGCTCAGGAAGACCTGCTCCAGGGAGATCTGACTCACACAGTAATCCTCCAACCTGTATTTCTCTTTGGCTGCTTCCAGGGTCCCAAAAACCTGGGGACAGGAAAAACAGCCATGAGGACAGGGCTCACCAACGTCCTGTAGGGGGCAGTCACGTCACGCGCCATCAGGGAGAGGACCAGGGAAGCTGCACGGAAAGGGAGGCGGAGAGCCGGTACCTGCGCCCAGGTGAGGGTCTTGTCGGTCAGGTGGTAGTGCACCATGCCCTGGTGCTCATCCTTCAGCATGCTGCCTGTAATCAGTGGCACACTTTCAGGCGCGATCCGCTGCTTCATGTTAGACAGTGTTCCACTACAGCTGTCAAACAGCCAAGTTTCTCCGACACAAGACTAAACACTGTATAATTGACAGCGAAGTTATCGCTTTTTAACTACATACTGTTTGTATTATTCTAATTTGAGATAATAAAACATGGAAGTCCAAACTAAAGTTAATGACCCCAAGACAGTCCTGGAACATCTCTGATCAAAGACAGTCTTTGATAAGCAGCAAGAATTATTCTGCCACCTATAGGACTGGGGGTGCAATCGCACAAATCGGCTACCAAAAGCGTACACACTGACCAGGGAAAGTGCTCTCGATGAAGTCCTTGAAGAGCTGCAGGTCCATCTCCTCCTCCTCCTCCAGGCGGACCTTAGCCAGCAGCGTATAGCCGCTGCCAAACTTGCTCTTCAGGTGCTGGGGGCTGCCAAGGCATTTGAACTGGCCATTGACCATGACTGCCAGCCTGGTGCACAGGGCCTCACACTCCTCCATGCTGCAGAACAGGGCAGGAAGATCAATCAAATTAGACCACTGACCACCATGAAGCCATGAAGCCTTCAGTACACTTAAAAAAGTATAACAAATCACAATTACTTATTGAGCAGATGCTTGTATTCAACATGATCTATAGCTGAGAGAGCAGGATCAGACAGTCCCTGGAGCAGCTGGGGTTAAGGGTCCCGTTCTGCCGACCATGGGATCTAAGCCAACAACCTTCCGGTTTCACAATCGGTGTCCTAATCCCTCACTGTTTATTTCCCTCTGCAGTCACCATCTGTCCTTTTAAAGCTGCCTTATGGTATCTGTATGGCTGAATGTCTCTCTGCAATGTGACACATGTTAAACGTTCTGAAAGGGGCTGCAGTGATTGGTGTTAAAGGTGCGGCTGCCGCAGGGCATTCTGGGACAGACCTGTGTGAGGTGATGATGATGGCCTTGCCCAGCTCCCTGGTGCGGCTCACCGCGTCCCACAACAGTCGGCGGGCCACCGGGTCCATGCCCGTGGACGGCTCGTCCAGGAAGATGACGGGGGGGCCTCCGATCAGCGCCATGCCTGCACTCAGCTTCCTCTTGTTGCCCCCACTGCAGAAAAGTGGGACGTTTAGGGCTCAGGGTCACGAGGCAGAGACACAGGCCAAGGATTTTACGGTGGCTGAGGCACCGGCAACAGTAAGGAACAGTAAGGAACAGTAAGGAAACTCGCATGAATAATTAGATAAATACTTTACATTTACTTGATAACTAGTTATTTATTTATGATTACGGAGTATTACACTGCCTGCAACCCTGGCCAGGATAAGCAGGTCGGGATGGATGGATGGACGGACGGACGGACGGACGGACAGACGGAGTATTACGTTGCTGTCCACACAGAATAGGAGTATCTAGCACAGAAGCCTTCCACAACACAGGCCTGAAACTAAGGTTGAATTTTCACAGTGGTTGGGGTCACATGGGCATCATGTGCATCGTGATTGGTTTGCCGTTGCTGTGGGCGTGGCCGACGTGGCCTTCTTAAGCACGAGGAGAGCCGCACCTGTAGCTGCGCACCAGCTTGTCGGCGTGCGGCTCCAGCAGCAGCGAGCGCAGCACGTTCTCCACGCAGGCTGCCACGTAGCGCTCGGGGATGCCGCGCAGCCGCGCGTACATGCACAGCGTCTCGCGGCCGGTCATGTGCTCCAGGAGGGCGTCGAACTGCGGACAGTAGCCAATGCGCTGCTGTACCTGTGCATCACACACACTGAAAGGTCAGACCCTGCCTCACGCGCCGCTCATTAACCATCGGGCTGTCGGATGTCTGCGCAGGCGCCCTCAGACCTTCTTGATGTCCCTCAGGACGCTGTAGCCGTCGATGTAGGCGTCCCCCGCGGTCACCGTCTCGTCTCCCGTCAGCATCTTGAAGGTAGTGGTCTTCCCAGCCCCGTTGAATCCCAGCAGGCCAAAGCACTCGCCTTTGCCAACAGCCAGAGACAGTCTGTCCACGGCCAGCAGGGCGGCTCCACTGCTGTACACCTGCGGGAGCAACCGGCCTCTCACTACATGGCCTAACACGCGTGTACGAGCCTGTGTACATGCAACAGCCACAACGGTCTGACGCCTTCCAGCAGTGTCTCCCAATCCAGTTCTCTGAGGGGCAAAAACTTCGACCGTCTGTGAGTCCCAGAGGCCTGGGTTAGGAAACAGTGCCCCTTACGTCACAGTCTTAGGGTGATTATACACAGGGTGACTTCTTGAACAATCTGGCTGGACGATGTTGCTGACCAGCGTTGCTCAGGCACTTTCTCATTGATACTGGGTGACAAATTTCTATTTGAAAAACTCTGATTGGCAGTGGGCAACTTTTCACGATCAGCCAGATCCAGTTGCCCTTCGTCTCATCTGCTTGGTAATTGCCCGGCAACATTGCTCAAAAAGTTGCCCTGTGTAATCATGACCTTAACTTGCTAACAGACAGATGTCAGACCCTCCTGAGCACATTCCAGAACCTTCACAGGGACAGCTCCACCCAAGGCTGCTGATTGGTCAGTCCTTTGGGTCCTTAACAGACAGCTTGGTTGGTGGACATTTATAAACACTGCTGTAAGTCTTCACACATTATAGAGGCAGGGCAAGGCCCCCTTAAAAATTCTGCTGATGTCCCCCCCAAACTTAAGCTTACCATAACTATTAAAGCTAACCCCACATAGCTTTTCTCATGAGCTCCCCCTAGTGTCTGGATCCCTGAAAGTGTCCCCCATTTCCCCTTTATAGGCGGCCTTGTATAGAAGCAGCAGGAGCTCAGAGAGCAGAACAGCCCAGGAAGAGCCGCCATCCGGGCATTACCGCCTGACCGAGGTCAGCCTCCCGCGCCTCCGCACGCCGCCGTACCTTGGTCAGCTCCTGCAGGACCAGTGGGCTGCCCACCATTGACTCCACGGCCGGCTGGCACTCCAGCACCCGCTTGCGCTCCTCCGCCACGTCTCGGTCCTCCGGCTGGAGTGAGGAAGCCCCCAGCAGCAGCATCTGGACCCCAGAGATACACCGAGGAGGCTCGTACACTCAGGGGGCACCAGAGGGCGCCACCGTTCAGACAGGCATGCGCCAGGCTACAGCTGGTCCGCAGGGTAAGAACGTCTGACTTACGGACAACCTGCACTTACGAACAGACTGGCATAAAGCCAATAACTGTATATTCAAAATTCTGGTTAAATACAATGGCTGATAACGGCGAACGCAGACAGTACTTTGTGGCGCAATCTTATTCATTAATTGACTCAAAGTATATTTACGTACTCGGTACAGTACGTAGTTACCATATATAGTTATCACAGAGTAACTCATGATCCACCACACCAGGTCCAGCTCCTTTTCCACACCGTATTCATCAGCAAGTTAGAATTACATAGCGGTTACATTAAAGTCTATCAGCAGAATTTAAGTCACGTGAACAAACATGCTGCTTTGTATTGATTTCCCTCGATGCCTCAACCCCCCCCCCCCCCCCCATCACCCGGCACCATGTCACCTTCTGCCGCCTCCTGCAGAGGGCGCTGAGCAGGCGGCGCAGCGTGCGAATGCACTGCAGCTCGATGACGAAGAGCAGTGTGATGAAGACCACGCCCTGAACAGACATGGCCACGAGGAAGCGGCCGATCCCGGGCTCCGACATGGAGAAGTAGTTTTCCTGATACGTGAGATCTGAAAGCGAGAGACGGTGGCAGCGGTTAGCATCAGCGGCGTGAGGCGTCCCGGATCCTCGGCCGCCGGTTACGCTGCGCGAGCCAATCAGAGGAGCCTGGAATTCCTCAGGCGCCCAATCCGTGCATTCAGCTGTTTCCTGCACTCAGTACTTCTGCAAAATGAATCTCTGTTTCCTCTTGCCCTCAGTAAACACACCCAGACCTTATGCTGCTCCCCACGTTTTCCTCAAGCGCCTCTTGCTGTAGCTACACGCGCTCGCCTGCATGGAGGACGAGCGCATTTTCTCGGCAAATAAAGAAAATTTCTCTTCACTGAGGGGGGACTCTGACATGTTTTTAGTTAGCAAATTACCTGTGAATTCAGCCGCACATTTCATAAGCAGTCATAACCGTCTGAACTACAGTATAGTTGGGTGTATAGTATACACTCTCGCTATAGTTACGTTAAGCCTTACGACGCACCCACCACCCCCCGACGTTGTCGTCATGGATACAGCCACTCCATGCCCACTGGTGGACTTACTGAAGACCTTGCAGAAGGACTCGGCGATGGGGCTGGAAGTGCAGAAGCTGATGACCTCGTAGTTCTGGTAGAACTGGCTGAAGGACATCCCCAGGCAGTAGTTTGGGAATAAGAGGAACACCTTGTCCAGGACCCAAGAGAGGTGCTCCAGGTGCAGCTCTGGGCCAGGGAGAGCAACACCTCCACTGAGAGCGGGACTTTTTAAAAAAAACAGCCTCTACGACAATAACAAGACGGCGAGATTGGCCATTTTGAAGGCAGGAGACGTGAGCAGGCAGCCTCACCAGGGATGGTCATGATGGTGACGGCCAGGAAGGAGGCGGTGCCGCTGACCATGTTGAAGACGGTGAGGCGCGTGTAGGCTGTGGCCGCCGTGGAGAACAGGAAGCTCAGCAGGTACATGAGGGGCACCACGGCCCAGCCGTACAGCAGCAGCATCAGCAGCACGTCCACCAGGTGGGTCTCCCTGGTGAAGGCGTGCACCCCAAAGGCCCAGAACACCACCTGCAGGGGGCAGTAGCGAGCTCGCTCAAGGCTACGCCGTGAGCTACCCAAGCGGCCAGCACCATCACAAGCATTTATACTAGTGTTGCTTAGCAACCATACCGCCAAAACGCGTACTGATAGGTTTGGATGTTGCATGTATTGTCTTCCCAACCTGCGATATATTCAATTGTTGAATAGAACATGTAACAAAGTATCCGTTTGTTAAGCCCTGACTATATTTGTGCTGCTCCAAACTTTCTGGAGACAAATTTGAAAAAAATGTCAAAGCACTACAGATTCACATTTTATGCATTATTTGATGTGACACAGAAGTACAAATCAACCTTAAGGCGAAATACACGCCGCCATGTGATACATGGGTGCAGTAAAAAAAAAATGGCCACAGGGGGGCACCACTGACCAGCATCAGAACACAGGGCAGCATGAAGTTGATCAGGTCCCAGAGGAGTGCAGAGAACCAGAAATTGGACAGGTAGACGCCGCTGACTTGCTGGACGTGCTTGGATTTGATGGAGCGCTCGGTGACCAGGAGCAGAGCGAAGGTGCTGGACAGGGAGGCCATGCCGTACATCAGGTTAATGGCGATGGCGAAGCCCGTCTGACCCCTGGTTCGAGAGGAGGAGGAGGAGGAGGAGACAATTCACAGCGCCACCCACTGGCAGGATGGCAAGCCAACACCACAGAAAAATTCCTAAAGGATTTCTTATCCATTTTCTTAACACTTTTATGCATTTAATTTTAAATTATAATAATTTTTTTAGTTTTCTTAACGTTTTGCACTTCTGGGCCACCGTAGTCTCGTTTAGTCAGGGCACTCGGGGCTCAGCGCCGCAGCATAAGCGGACTGATCTGCACTAACACCCTGCTCAAGGCTGAGGCCGTATCCCCGTACACACTCTGTCAGCTGGCTCTGCGCCTTCTCCGAGATGTTGCGTGGCATTGGGTAGTTGGATGCATGGATGGAGGCGTTGGGCCCCGCCAGCAGCCTGTAGAGGGCGCTGTCCAGCAGCAGCAGAGCCGTGGCGGGAGTGTGGTACCCCTGGTTGTTGAAGTAGGCTATAGCCTCCACAGAGCTCAGCAGGTGGCCACGGAAGGACACGCCCACCACGCAGTGCTCGTTAAAAGCTCCGCCCTCATCTTCGGCCCGACGGAGCACAAACTCGGGGAGGTCTAGCCGAGGTAGGGGGCCACAAAAGAGGAAATTGTTAATATTCCTGTATGTAGCTTGAGAAACAAACCATCTTATAATCACAAGCACTTTCGTCTGTGGTTCTCTGTAGGAAAGGTGATTATTCCCTGCCGTTACGCGGTGAGGAGGCTCCTGTAAGACCGCTCACCAGAGACGTCCTCCGCGCGGCCCTCCTGCTCCGCCAGCTGCCCGGCGTACATCGCGGCCAGGCTGGCCGCCGCCGGCTCCGAGTTGGCCCCGGCCACGGGCACGACGGTGGGGCCGTAGCGGCTCAGCGTCAGGTCCAGCGGGGCCGAGTCGCCGTGGCCGGGCAGGGAGTGTGCCACCACCAGCGACAGCACGGTGAACACCAGCGGCACCAGGAACTGCGCCACGATCACCTTCCAGTTCCGCCAGGTGTACAGCGCCCTCTTCAGGAACATGGCGTAATACTGCTGCAGGTACAGCCTCACCTGTGAGGGGTCGAGGAGGGGGGGGGAGGGGTCAGGCATCTGGTTTGTATTTCTATTAGGTGCTATTTATATTCTATTATGGTTTATATTTCTATTAGGTGCTATTTATATTCTATTATGGTTTATATTTCTATTAGGTGCTATCTATATTCTATTATGGTTTGTATTTCTATAGTATTATTCTACTTTAAATTTGCTGCACCAATTCTAGGAGGCACAAGACACAAGATATTTGCGTGCCTTTGTATACTATAATGACAACAGAATTGAACTGAACATGACTGAACA